GACGGACGGACGGACGGACGGACAGACAGTCACCGCTTAATCGATTTCTCTTTTCATTCTGATCATTTATGTATACATTTGTCTATATCTATCTCGATTCGTTTAGCCTGTTACAAACAACCGTTATGTGAACAAAGTTATAATACCCTTGTGCACAAGTGCGCTCGGGTATAAAAATAAAATATTCCGACGAACTGATAACCTCCTCATTTTTTGGATGTCGGTTAAAAAAGCCACGTATCTACTATTTACAGTTTGAGTCTACCACGTTTACGCCATGCGCATTCATTACCACTTGGCTCACTCACCTGATGAGACTCCACGTTGAATTCATTGAATATCAGCTTGATGCGATGACCCGGTGTGGTTGAAAAGTGCCATACGCAATCAGCATTCGGTGGATAGAGATCCGGGAAGTTTGGACTGTAGATGGTGCCAAAAGGTGCCGATATTTCATGTTTACATTCGCCTTCTTTGCAATCGTGTCCATTCTCATGTAGCGAATAGCCATTGTGACAGAAACACATGTAGGAGCCGATTGTGTTACGACACTCATGCTGGCAGCCACCATTGTTCGTGGAACACTCATCAATATCCGTGAAGAATACTGCAGCGAAGCCAGTGCCTTGTATAGTCTTATCAGAATGGAATTCAACGCGCAGCGCATTGCCCTCCGAGGTGGCTGTGGGTGGTATGGCTGTGCCGCAATATGTACCAATGCGCTTTAGGCGATTCTCGCTTAATTTTGAGTAAATAGTGACCGAGTCGTAGCCGCAATCCGTTTGTTGTTGTGTATTGCCCTCGAGATCGAAATGCGTGAAGTTGAGCGATATCTTGTGTTTTGGCGGAGCAATAATTTCCCAAATACATTCCTTTAGCACGGGATAGGCATCCGGGAACGATGGCGAACTTATGGTACCATTGGGGTATTCAATGACGCCACCGCAAGCATCTGTGGTTAATAGAAGGAGCAGAGAATTGCAAAGAGGTGAATGAGAAGGCGTTAAAAACAAAACTGTTGACAGGTGAAGTAGTAAGGAGAATAGATAAATGGGAAAGAATCTTTCAAATTTTCTTGCATGTTTAACTATACATATTGTAAATATGTATGTACCATTATTTATACACCCACATACGTGCATACATATGTAAGTACATACCTTCACAATGCTTTTTGTCGCTATGCAATTCATAGCCAATATGACAGCTACACTCGTAACCACCCAACGTATTTATGCAGTCATGCTCGCAGCCATGATTCTGTGTCTCGCACTCGTCTACCTCCTTCATGAAAATGGCTGAGAAGCCGGCCTTCTGTACGGATGAGTCCGACAAGAATTTCACGTACATAGCATTGCCACTTGACCTACAAAGTGAAAACAACAAAAACCACAACAAGAAAAATTATGTAGAAAATGAATAAAGTGAAGTAAGGAAAAGTTTCACTTTTGATTTTGCTTTCAGTCGCGCCGGCACACTTGCTTGTTATCAGCATATCCAAACAGCACTTACTTAGGCGACGAACTAAAGGATCGTCCGAAAATTCGAACAGAAGACAGAACTCTTTTTCGTCCGCCAAGTGTATCAGTGCATACTACGAGTGTTTGTAAGCTACGTACATATACATATGTATATGTACATACTAGTACATATCTATATTTATACGGATGCACTCACTTCATGTTCGGTGGTGGTTTGTAGCCGCAAAATACGCCAATCAATTGCGCATCCTCCGTGGCACCGTCTCGCACCTCGACGTAATCATACACACAGCTGTCGTGATTCTCCACTTCGAACGATTGGAACTTAAGCGCCACTTGGTAGCCTCTTGGCACAGTGATTTTCCACACGCACTCTTTGCTTGGCAGGTAATCCAGTGGATAGTTGGGCGATTCTAAACGACCCTCGGAATCGTCGACAGACATCTCACCGCCACAGATGACTGCAAGTGCGGAAAGAGGAAAACAAGTCTATGTATTCAAGTAAGCTTGGGAGAGTATAAGTATGTAAGGAAGTATGTATGCATGCATGGGGAGGTGTGAATGAGCCGTGATGACTCGTGACAAAGTGGAATTGTTGAATGGTTGACTTGCTGTTGTGAATGCAGCTTAAAAAGCGGATGCGGAGTAGGTACAAGTAATCAGGATGTAACAGAAATGCTAAAGCTAAGTGCATTTTTTAAAATAGCAGCAGGAAAAGCTCTCAATTTGTTTCCTTCATCTTTTTTTTGTGACGTGGCTAAATGGAATAATACAACTGCTAACTGAAAGGAGTAGATCAGTATAATACAAAATTCATCTGTTAGTAACTGCTTCTTATGCAGCCCAGCAGAAAATCTCTAATTGCTTCTTGTGTGTACAAATTAAAATTTCTGATCTGAACCGTTTCGTGGCATTTAGGGATAAGTTCTGGACCATTTAAGATTAGTTCAGGACTATTTCAGCAACATTTATGGACTAGTTTGGGATCATTTGGCTTTTTCTGAAATGTATTTGGCCTTTTCTGAAATACATATGAGCTTCTCTTAAATACATTTGAGTTTTTCTGTAATTCATTGGGCCTTTTCTGAAATACATTTGTGTTTTTCTGAAATACTGTTGGAAAAGGTGTAGTTCATGAGTATTTTATGACTAGTTTGGGATACTTTTGGGACTACTAGGGCCCATTTCGAGACCGTTTCTATACTTGTTCGAGATCCTTTCGGGACAAGGTCACGACTTATGCAGAACCATTTCAAACAATTCTGGTTCTGATTCGAGATCATTTCAGGGTAATTCGAAACTTTTCACGGAATAATCCTGAAATAGTTGTGAGCTATTCCGGAAGTGGCTATGAAAAATGCAGTCCCGACAAAATGAATAAACCCTATTTATGTATTTAACTGAAATTTCACGAGAACCTGTTACTCACGCCTTTTTTACGAGGAGTATTTCATACCCATTGATAAAACTTGAAGGCTACTTTAGTTGTAACTTCTAGAGTTTTGTGGCAGTGTGAGAAACAATATAGGTATTCACCAAATTGCACAGTTGGCCTGACACTCTGGCAAAAAAGCAAATGAGCTCAAGCAACGACTGTTGATAAACGTCGTAATGATAGGAGTTAAGTGGTTAAAATGTTCTATGAAAAAATGCTTGCTAAAGTTCAATATACGTCTATACTAAACAATCTACTCTCGACGAACAAAAATTAAGCTCTAAAAATCGTGGGGGCTTTCGAGCCCATTCACGTGAATGGCGTGTACCGAAGGAATTGGTGTAAACAACTAACATAACTTTGCAAAAGAGACAAGCAATTGGCTAAGTTTTTTGGTTGCAACTGGTTGTCTGAAACTGACTTACAAATATAATTTCAAAGCAATACAACTGTTCGTTAAATATTAGCTGCATATTCAGGACCTCGAGTAAAAGTAACCAAAAATTCATTTGATATTTAATGACCTATCTTATTGGTATATGAATTTGCATTCTTACATATCGCACCCGATATTCAAAGCACATGCCAATTATATGGGCAAGCGAGACTCTACCTTGGTTTTTTTCAACAAATTATAACAAAAATTTGCTCCAGCTTTTGCTATACGGTAAATAAAAGTTCTGTGCACATTTTAGTGCATAATTTCAAAAATGCAAAATTTCGAGTTGTGCCGCTTTTGGAGATGCGTGTGCGATATGTACATAGTACATATGTGCGGATATATGAGGTACACTCACCATCAAATTCTGCCTTGAAACCCCGATAGCCTTCCATGCGATGTGTATTGACATACGTCAAAAGCATACGACTCGATTCTGTTTTCAAAATTTCTCCATTTACTTTACCGCAGAAACGCTTAATCAGAGGTGATTTATAATAATAACCATCTCGCACCTCCAAGTAATCCGTTTGACAGTTGTTCGACTTGAAAATATTCTGTAAAATTCAGAGGAGAGAAGAAAATATTCAACAAATGTTCGACGCATTAAATTCAATAGCAGAAATTAGTCATGGTTTTTCAAAAAATGACTGCCGCCAAGCCAAGGAAAGCGAATAAACCAAAAATCTACTTTTATTTTTAATTTATTATTTAAAAATTTGTTCATGTTGTCCGCCTTGAGGGCAAGCAAGTAAATGCTACCTACCAGATTTTCCAGTTTCAACACAACGCGCTCGCCATGTGTAGCTGTAATGCGCCATTCACACTGCTCCGTCTCGTTGGTCAATGCACCAGCCGTATAGTATGACGGACTGGCAAATATGCCGGTATTCTCTTGAAATGTACGACCGCACTTGGGGCACTTGTAGAGTAAATTCGCTTGTGCAACATCACCGGCACTCAAGCGTAAACGTTGACCAATTTCAGGACGCTTTTTGCCTTTCACTTCAATGGGTAGAATGGTGTCGAGGTAGGTGCCTTTGGAGAATGTGTTGCGCGCATAGTGCATAATGGAGTCATAGTCATAGGGCAGCCCCAGTGAGTCGACCTCCTCCGGTGTCAATTTGTTGAAATTGTAGTCTTGACCCTTCATGATGTTGTTGTGCTCGATGACGACGTGCTTTTCGCGATCGGGACGGGTGTGCTCATGCCAAAAGCCAACGACATGACCCAGTTCGTGCACTACAATGCCGAATTTGTCGCAATTGCGACCGATTGATATGGCTTGCGCTCCATTGCCGCGTTTGCCAACAAATGAACAGCACCTGTAGCAAAATGGTTGGGTAAGCGAAATGAAATTTGTGTTGGCACGGTGGGTGTTTATGTGTATGCATGTGTATGTCAGTTTGTATCAGTATATATAAACAAATGTTTTTATGTATGTATGCATGTAGTATGTATTTTAGTGCGTCCATACTTGCGTACAAAGAATAAAACAATTAGTTTGCGAAAAGCGTAGTTATAATGGTATTTAGTGTAAATGTTGGTACAAATGTATCTTTAGAGCAAAAACAAAGCCAATTACTTTGATTGCATTATTGTCTATGCTGAACTCACCCACAACTACGTACTGTGAATACAATGAAATTTGGATGTATTTCGGGATCACGTTCAATAAATTTGATGCAAGTAGAGTTTTCCCAATGACGCATTGCCTGCTTGAAAAGCGCCTTGTGCAGACCACTGAAGTTGCCGTCGATTTCATACGGTATGACACCGTAATCCCACACTCGCTCCTTTTTGGCAGTTACAGCGCGCACCATGCGATTGCGATGCCTTAAGTGCTTTGAATTTCTGTTTAGAAATATGCAATGATTTAAGTAAATTATTATAGTAAGAATAAAGTGCAACGTCATTAAAGCTTGAACTCCATACAAAACTTTTCAGGCATTCACTATTAAGATTAATCATGCCCAACGCTGGCATAACTCCATAGGCAAGCGCCTTGCGCTGGGCATGCCTGATTAAGACCATTAACGAAGCAAATATAGGGACCCAAAGGCCCAACTCTTAAACAAGTTACACGATTTGAAGATGGACGCATTAGTCCCTAATATCTGCGTATTACAGAGAATTTTCTGCACTATGCCATTAACTGTTGTTGCCGGTGGCGAAATTTTATTCAACCTTTTACTTAGCACATATTACGAATTTTTTACGTTTTTTAATGAACCTAACTAGCCTTCGAACTTTGTCACTGGATTCATCTCTGGCTCGTACCATTGATTTTTTCTAATAAACTCACTCAAGAACGTGACGATAGTTTACTCTATTTACAAACCTATTCTGATCGTTACCGAATATTTTCTAACCGAAAAATTTAAAATTTTCACTAACAGAACTGAAACAGGAAATTTAGTTGCCGCACAGAGGTGTATTTGCATAGTAAAATCGGTCAATATTATTTTATGTGTTTTTCTACTCGGTAAATAAAATAATCGTAATTAGGCATTTATAGGATAAAAATTACTACTTAAACTTATCTTAGGATAATTTTCGTGAAATATTTAGTTATATTCAGCTACCATAAGTCCCCTAAAAAAACTTTTTCAGAAAAAGACAATAGTATGTTTAACTGGACTTTTGCCAAAATTGGCAAATGTGGCTATTGACTGGGTTTTCTGTACAAATACTCCTATGTGTGCCGGTTAAAAAATTTTGGTATCAGCGCAGAGGAGACCTGTAAACAGTTTTTATTAATGTTTTGTTTTTTTGTAATTTTTTGGCCAAATAACAATTATGTACATAAATTCAACAAGTTTATTTAGCTTGAGGCAGTTTCTAATGAATGTAGACTTATTGTGACCCAAACCTCCCCATTTTTCTTTCAAATTTAGGTGTTTCTAATAAAAGAGAGAGAACAAAAAAAATTTTATCGAAATCGGATGAAATTTAATGTTTTGGCATAGAAGAGTGGAGTGCGTGGCAACTAGCTTTCAAAATTCCCTATTCTTTAGAAAAATTAGAGTACATACAAGGTTCAGCGGAATCGGTGCACGTTACCTATTCTTTCCACCTGCCTCCAAATAGTAGAAGGACCCCTCTGCGGTCGGTTTGTACACTTGGCACAACTTCGGAAGAAAGGGGCAATAGGCGAAGATTTTGGTCTCGCTCAAAACCGAAAAATGGTTGCGTGCCAAATAAAAAGGAAAAGAAAAAACTACTTTGTCTTAAATTTTGGTACCAAGTTTGGAAGGTTTATGATATTTCGTAGTGGCATCGTGGGCACCCGACAGTCCCCGAAGAGTAGTATGTACCTACGGCGCTCAACATATTGACTTTTACAGCCATTAGCAGACCGCATCAAAGATTTCAAAGCAGCATTTGGAGATTTTTGCAAAGCATACTTACTCAGCTTTTTGTAGTTCTATTTCTAATGGCGTTTGTATATTGCTGCCAGTACCCGCACTAATTCCGTCACTGCGGTCGCTACTGGCTATGGAGTCGTACGCGTCGAATTCAACTCTACCGCCCACAGCATCCAGTTCATCGCTTGGTGTTGCAGAATAATTGAAATTTTTGGCTAGACTTTGCTCCATTTGCAACGCTGGCATCCATTGATGGTGGCGTTGATGGTGCTGTTGCGGTTCTGGCACCAGCTGTTGCTTGTGCTTTCCGTACTCGTGTTCCAGCGGTCGTTCATTGGCGAATTCGGTTTTAACTGCTCCAGGTGTTGCTGTTGCTGTTACTCCAATTTTCGTTGTTTGCTTCTTGTTATGTGTTTTGTGGTTGGCGCCATGGTGGCCGCCCACGTTGTGTGTTGGCCGCTGGTGGCGTACTTGCGCTGGATAATCGTGAATGGTATGCACTGGCCGATTGAGTTCTTCCTTTAGGCGTTCCAGCTTCGCATTAAAGTCTGCATGTCGCATTTCTGAGCTGCGTCTGTAATGAAAGTTAATTAAGTGCGATTGGTTTGTGGTTCGAGTACAAATTGTGTGGCCTATTTGTACTAGCATACACTATGCAATGCAGTGGTAGTCATTCAATTTACCTATGCTTGCGCCCACGGCGATGTCGTCGTCGTACTGCACCCTCAGCATGCAAAAAATCCACATCATCAAGCTTCATGCCATTACCACCCGAATTACTGTAAACATTCGGCATTGTTGAGCGTTGCGTAGGTACCGATGTCGGCAGTATGACCATGCGACGTTCGGCCACGAAATTGTTACCTGAATCCATTTCAATGTCCTTCGTATTCGATTGAATTTTTCGTTGATCAACATTGCGATTATTTATGGCTGCTGCGGCTTTACGTTGCTTCTCTACCTCGACTGCTTTCTCAATCGGTGTGCGTCCGAAAGGTCCACCTGCGCCATTGCTATCGACGCTACTCACTGCTGGTCCGAAATACTCCCCACTGCGGTGTAAAGCAATCGACTCTACTTTTCCGTTTGCATCAAAAGTTGTGGCTTTTCCTGGACGTGTGTGCATTCCACCACCACCACCGCTGCTAAGAGCGCGCTGCCGTAGTTGTTGTTGATGCGCACCTAGCGGTTGTGTTTCATTCGTGTCCGTATTTGCGGATTTTCCGCGCGTAGCTGGCTTGGAATCAAAAAATGAACCGTCAACTGGATGGTAAATGGGGTTCGGTTTGTAGCGTTGGCCGTTGTCGTTGTTGTTATTGCTACTGATAACTTCATTTTTTAAGTTTTTCATCAAATAGTCGGTGTTTAACGAAAAACTTGTGGGTTTTACCGGTTCATTGGCCGACTAGGCATCGCAGTTCACGAGAAAAATAAAATGAGAGAACAAACAAAAGGAAGAGAATTGAGACGCGCTGCACAGATGAAGTGTTGAATTAAAGTGCCTTGTTGGAAGCGTAAACATTGCGAACTCAACATCCAACAAGTGAAATAGTTAATATTTGACTAGTGCTTAGACGCACAATAAAAATCAGAGTTTTTATGGACTTTTATGGACACCCATGAAAGCACATACATTAAAATACATACATACGTACTAATCATGTTCATATTTACCCTTCAGTAAAATAAGGAAAATTTTTCGGACGTGTGCTATACTTTAAGTCAATAATGAACTTTTGAATGAAGTGTACGATATGTGTGATCTTTCACGCACTTCATCTAAAAAGTTGCCAATATTACAACAAATTCTTACAAATTTATATATTTTATGAGTTTAATGAAATTCCATAACCATTGCCAGGGTATTGCCTATTTATTGAGGATTAAATATATCTGATCTAAATATGATCTGATCCAAGGTGAAATCTATCACTCACAACACGTGATCCGCGAAAATCAAATTACTCTAAATTCTAGTAAGATGGAGCTCGTCTTGTTCATTTGTAAGTATAAGATACTCTACGTAACTCATATATGTAATACTCCTATATTGGTAGCAAGAGCTAGTACCGTCCGAAAACACTACAGTACAGATATATCAATAAACACGTACGAAAGAAAAGGAACACATACGTTTATAAATAAACATGTACACGACACATTTACAAAACCGGCACTCAAGTACACAATACATTGACAAAAACAGTACTAGACTGTCTCGCTTTGATTTCGGAATGCTTACACATTGAAATGTTAGCTTACTACCAATATAGAAGTATTACATATATGACTTAACTCTAGCCTCAATCGGAAGCGTTCGCCTGCCGTATTCTGATAGAGTCAGTTGGGAAGCTGTCGTGGAGGCTCAACATGAAGAAGGCATCAGTAGCTCACGACCGCTTCAGGGAAAATGCGGCTATTTAGCAAGAAATGTGAGCTCTCCTGTCTTTATAAAAATATTGTTATACCCACATTGCTTTATGGAGACATCGTCTGCTGGAAAGCACTATAGATCAGTGCCGTTATTAGATGAACTGCACTCTGTCACTCTGTCTTAGAATAGCGTGCGTCGACCTCGCTGTGGTCAAATTTAGGGTTATTGGACTCAGGATTTGCACACCTATTATTCTTGGAGACTTTGACTATATAAATGATAAATAGATTGGCACCAATAAGCTCTTTCTTCATTCCTATCTCCTCCATAAATAAGTGAACGGGAGGCACTGATTGAAAGGGAATATAAGTGGACCTTTGCGGGTCGAAGATTGGCGGATTGGTCGATGGAGGGCTATTTTGCAGGGAGCTCTAAATCAACCTAAATTTTAGGGTTCCATACCACTGTTGTGACTTCTAAAGAAGCAGTAAGCATCTCTTATGATATCCAAGCCAGTTTCAGGGCCTTTGACTCGCTCACGGACGGAGTAGAGGTATGCCTGTTCTATTTCTAGTTGAGTCTGCTTATTTCCTAGTCAGACTTATAATGGTGTCCCATCATAATAATATTCCAGATGGCTCTTGGGCAAATGGACCTTGACAGCTCGCGAAGATTGGACGAAAAGTAGCAAATGTGCAACTAAAAGCTTTTCATAGAAGAAGTCATACTGGAGGAGATTAATGGATCTTTATGAGCTCAAAAAGACGCAACTCTCTTTTCGGTGAGTGTATTGTCCGAACACTGTCCGAGGGGTATTCACGCCGTAAGACTAAATACAAATCCGAATCCTCACTCACTGTTGAACTTCTTAGTGGACGATGAAGTAGAATTAGTTTAACAATTTCTCTAAAGGTACCCAACTTTAATGAGACCTCAATAAAAACACTAACTAGTACCGAGAGCTCCCCAGGACTGTCATTCTCCGTCAGCCAAACTTCGTTGTTGGCTCAAAAAATGTTTCACTACAGCTAGCAGTTAGTGTTCGTAGGGCCTTATTAGAACACTGATTGTAATGGTCTTCTGTATGTTTTCGTTTCTGCAGCTCCTACAGAATTCATTGGAGGCGATTCCCAGCCATTTGTTGTGGATGCCAACCGGTCAACGCTACTTAACTCGCAACGTCTGAAGTTTCGCTGTGGTGTAAGTTTCCAGCCATGAACCGATTGCTGAAGCTTGTGGAGTAAAGTTTACCTTCTTATAGTTTAGATTGTAGACCTCTATTATGGTCGATGTGAAAACGTCCCAAGGTAAGTCATCAGCAACCATATTTTCGGGAATTTTGGGATAATCAGCGGCCCAAACTAAAAATACTTCGAATTGCTTCTAAGTATGTACATTCAATAGTGTTCTTCACTCAATAGCCATATTAAATGATAATCTGCACGCCTGTTGGTAGCGTAAGTAACTGAACTTCAAAAGGAGATAGCCCTCGGCGATACATGATATGAAAATGAGCTTGGTTTCTTTACTCTCTCCCGTATATGTAATTTTAAACGTCAAACTATGATTCCCTTTTTTAGATAATCGTAGGTTTTGGGTATTCAACTTTGAAAATTAACAAGTAAGAAAGTTTAAGTTCGGGCGTAGCCGAACATTAAATACCCGGCGCAAGTATTAAATATATGTCTTTCACCTTTCCGAAATCTACCGCTACATGGTAAGCTGTGGTGGTTTTACCCTTATTTTAAAATTCTTCGATAGAACGTTCAGTTAGACATAATAAGATAAACTTGTGTAGTCATATGTAGGCGGTATCACGCCCATTTTCCAAAATTCTAAATAATGTTACTTCTTTCCAAGGTATTGTTAGTATAAATTTTGAGTTAATTAGCGCCCTTAAATTTCGAAATATCGAGGTTTAATGAAAAGTGGCCGAAATTTTAGTCTGATTTCAATAATTTTCAAGGTTTTGCTTTAATGTGGCAGGCGCAATAAACGTACGGAGTTTAGTACAAATTGGTAGAACGGTTACCGAGATGCATATATGTAATCATAAGTGGGCGGCGCCACGCCCATTTTCCAAAATTTTATCATAAATAAACGTATTGCTCGGAAAATAATTATTGCAAGCATTAATTTTGAATAAATTAGCTTTAATATTTACTGATTTATCGAAGATTTCGTATTTCTCTAAATTACCGTTATATGCGATTTGGGCGTGGTTGTTGTCAGATTTTAAAAATTTTCAGCCATTTCGTATGTTGTACCAAGGCCAACAACTGTGCTAGTTTGGGAGAAATTGGTGGAGCGGTTACCAAGATATACATATGTGGGCGTGGCTACGCCCATTTACCAAAAATGTATAATGTTATTATTTTTCATCTCAAAATTTTTGTAAATATCAATCTTGAGAGAATAATCTTCAGTAGTTAATAAAATATCGCATTTTCGCATTTCTGAAAACTACGGTTATATGGGAGGTAAGCGTGTTTATTGTCCAATTTTGTCATTTTTCAATACCGTCCGCCCAAGTTTCGTTAAGATATTTAAATTTTTACTCGAGTTAAGTGTGCACAGACGGACGGCTATATCCTTGACACTGTAATGCGGAAGTTTTTAGACTACTAAATATAAAAATCGTTCTTTGTAATATCGGGTCTAAAGTTAAGTCTGATATAGAATAGAATGCAGATTGTGAGTACATTAAAATTTGTAAAACAAATTTATTCACATGTATGTATGTATATGTATAATTAAAGAAGACTCACCAAAGCTGCATCATTGCGGTTACGTTCATTTTTATTGTTGTTGTAGTCATAACGTGAACTCGGTAGTTTGGTTTTCTTGCGTATAATATGTGTCAGACCCTCCTCCTCCACTTGCAAGCCTTCGTGATAAACTTCCTGTTTAAGTATCTCCAATTCTTGTTGGAAAGATGCATTGAATTTAGTAGCGGGTGCAACTTTTTCAACGATTGTCAGCCTGTCAGCTGGTGCATCCGATTGCCATTCCCAGGCGGTATCCTTTTCATTCATATTTCGTTTAGGCAAGCTTTCACTATCCTCACTACCGGTGATTTCGTCGTCGTCTTCGTTGTCATGTGATCCGGCTTCTATGGGTATAATCAGAGTGCGCGCCACAATTGGGTCACCGTCATAATTAATGTCGGGCAAGGCGATATCTCCCATAAAACCACCTGTGGAAAAAACAATTGGAATTTTAATTGAATTTCAATGATAAGCTGCAGGCAAGATAGTGAAAGAATGTATGCATGCGCGCAATTGTTCGTGGAACCAAAAACTGGTGTACATACTTAAATAAATACTCATAAATAAGGATAATGCAAATAATAGGCAATTTAAGTGCGTCTGTTTGCACATAATTGGTGAGATAAAATATTTTTATTTAACTGAGCATTCATTAATTATTGCCGGCGCACGCTGTGCTTTTTCAACACCTATGCGAATTAATCGTAGCGCTTCCGACAGATCAACATTATGATATGAAACAAACTGGTTTGTAAAGCTAATGTAATTGCCTTTCACGGAAAAATATTGCCATTGCCACAATTACTCCTTGACCTTAAAAACATAGGTCAAAAATATTTTTTTATTATACTAATATTATAAATTTTGAGACGAGCAACACGATTTCACGGTTTAAAAACCAAAAAAATAAATGGAACCCTTCAATTTGAAAAATTCATTATATATTGCATTTCTTATGATTTACATGCAGCTGTGCATCCTTCACACAAGTTTATATCCCTCGAACAACAAGTGCATTTTAGTGCAATTCAAATCTTTAATTTGAAGAACACCCTATTTTACAATTCGGTTCAAAAACGCCCTTATCTCAGCATATTTTCAATATATTTTCAGTTGAGATAGGCGTTTTCGAACTGGCTGCCGAGATAGCTCGATGTTCCACTCAGGTGTACATACATATGTATGGAGCCATTCCCATAAGGCACTTTATTAAAATGTCTATTGGTTACGGGAAAGACGAACCCATCGGATCTCTATGTCACAAACTCCATGAAAAAAAAAATTATACCAAATTCAGATACTCCAATTCAGGGTACTACAATTATTATTTTCTGCTCGTATTTCATAAAAAAAATTATTAGGCATTTTCATTCGACCATTCTCAACTTTTTATGTATCGATATATTTTCTTCGTTAGCAGCTTGATTTTTTGTAAAAGAATGGACTTCAGTATAAATTTTCAGAAAATACTAGGCCTAACGAAAAGTGTCGTATTAAGATTCTCCAACTGATTTGTAAGATATACGTGATTAAGTGGAACCATTTTTTTGCTGATTCACGGCAAATTGCAAATATCCCGAAAACACGTTCATATAAAATGTATGCGGGAAATTCTACACGGGAATTGGACATTTTCATGCTAAACAAATCAGTACTTTTCAGTACATTTTTATTCAAAGCAAAATTGGGGCCGTGACAGCAGGATTGGTCTAACCCCAAAAAAAATTTGTTTGTACTTACCTACTTAAACTAGTCTCAAATGAGATAAATTTAAAAATAAAATTCGCTCATTCCTTAATTTTAAGGTACAAAGCTACATAGCATACCATCAATTTAAGAAGTGAGCGACTTTTATTTTAACATTTATCTTACTTGAAACGTCCTCATGGCTTAAATTAATTTGTTCAACTCAAAAGCTTTACAAGACTTAAAATTCGCTAAAAGAGTATCTAACTATATGTATTGTATGCAAAACGCTTTTACGATGTCAGTAAATTGTGAAAAAAGAATTATAAGTTACAGGCAAATGCCTTTCGCATGTTCAAATTTATTATTAAACTTAAAGTTATTTTCGATATAGTAAGCAGCACTCGACAAAAAAAAACGTCAGCCTTCTTTTTAAACAGTTTAAGCTCCATATTATCGCAACTGGAACGTAACGACCCGGCGATACGCCCATAAAAAATTATTTTTTTCATTGTATTAATTTCTTGGGCATATCAAACATTATCTGAAACATGTCAACTATAATTAAATTATTTTCTTCTTACTTTTTACAGTACAGTTTAAAGAAGTTCCAACGTTATGTAAAAATCTTAAGAAAATCCTAAAGTATTTTGTTTGAATTGAAACTTCAGTACAAATCAGTACAGATTTTTAAAAATCAGGACTTTAGCGTGCTGATTGAAGAAATACGTAAATATAATCAGTACAAGAGTTGAAAAATCAGTACGTCTGGCAATCTAACTACACATTATATGTTGCCTGTTGGCGGATTGGCAATTCATCCATTAGTTAATTAGTACACTATATGGGCTGGCAAAAATATTGCCATCGCAATAATTTTCTGGTATTAAGCTATTTGTTTTTTGTTATTTTTTGGCCTTTTAACAATTATATTCAACAATTTTATAATGAGCTCGAGGCCATTTTAAATGAAAATTTATTGTGGAAAAGCAACAATAATTTGAAAAAATGGTAGAAGTGATAGCTATTTCGGAAATCACCACATTTCCTCATCAGACTTCTTTCAGTAGGATTCGAACCGACGATC